GTGGAGTGTACAGGAAGAGGAGGAGGAGGAGACCGCCTCACGTGCCACGCTTGTAGTTGACGGTCCCAAGATGGGTGTAACCGATATGGCGTAGCCAGCGGTTAACAAATGTGCTCTTGCCCGTGTTCACTCTTCCCACGATGTATATCCACCTAAAAGGCCCACATTAGAGTATCTTCTCAACTCAGACGCACCTGGGCTTATCGGCTGAGAGGTACTGTCGCATCCGGTCTTCCAATTCTGCAAAGCCCGTACCGTTGAGTGAAGATACGAGAACCTGGGGAGGGGCCTGGAGGGCCATGGGAAAAGAGGGGGCACCGACCACATCCGACCACTGAGCGTTCTTGATCTGACGACTCATTCGGGTGGCCCACTGACGAATCTGATGTTTCTTCTTCTCGTAGAAGGGGATGCCATCTATCTTATTAATAACGAACATCACCTGAGGGCAGGAGTAAAAGGGCGCACTAGGGGAGGAGCAGTGGCCACTTGGAGGTTCTTCTGTCGACACGACTCGAACAGCTCGGGCACGATGGAGCTTTCAAAGTCCAGAATGTCCACCAACATGAGGACGAGTGAGTCTACAAACCAGGGATGTTGCTGGGAGTAAGACCTCACGCCTCATAAGTATGTGTTACAGAATCCCAACAAGCAAGGCCCCTATAGTTTCACACTGTAATTGTACATCAGCAGTAACAGTCTACTACACCAGGCGTACAAGAGAAAGCATCACACTCCGGAGGCGTACAGTTTACAACACCTAGCAGCATCCTTGCTACAAACTCACAAGAATTTATTCAGTCCTGGCCAAGCGCCTAGATGAAGCTTAATACGCCCCCTGCCTCCTAAGGCTTCATAGGGCATCAAATTTGCATGATTATGAGAAAGTAAAATCATGCGTTTTAGTTTAACACATATGAACTTTCTCCCCTTCAGACTATCAAAATCGACCATACTGTACTGTTGCAAGTAGCGTTAGAGTAAGGCAGTAGTTTACCTTTCCTGATGCTCTTAACAACTTTAGCAACGATCTCCTCTTCTTCCTGCCACTGGTACCCGCCTT